CCTGTCCTCAGATCCTGATGGCTGCTGGGGGCCGCGGCACCTTACGGAAGCCTCGGCTTCGCGCCTTCCCAGGCTGCGCTGCGCAGACAAGGCCGAGGCTGGCGTCCTGAAGGTGAGTCCCTTCGCAGCTGCAGCCTGGACGTCTATTATCCAGCTGGTGCTTAGCCCTCGGCAGCACTTTGAAGACGTGACTGCTGACCTCCAGGCTTGGGCGGGAGAGAATTTGTTAACTTATTTGTTGAAGTCTGCTATTCTCTTGTTGCCTAGTCCCGGAGGTTTCCATCTTCATAGGCCTGTGGCGCGGCCAGGACAAAGCTCTGTATGTAAGACGAGCAGCTTCCAGAGATGACTGCCTCCCAGGGAGAAGTTTGGGAGAGGGCAGAGGTCTCCTGTTTGGATTCAGAGCTGGCTGTGTGAGAAGCAGGAGTTGTGTTTTGTGCTGGGAGAGACTGGCAGTCGGGCCTAGCCACCCTATTTCCCTTCCAGTGACTCGACTCAGCAATTCCTAAGTACCTAGATACCAGCACAAATCAGTTAATCCCTGTCTGGACTGAGCCTCTGTTGGCATCTGAACTGGAATTTTGCAGCTAACCCATCCAAGACTAGAACTTTAGGTAATGGGGAGGTTGAGATGGACTAATTTTATTAAAGGATTTTTTAAAAAATTTAAGTGTCTTGTTTTTCATTTTGCAAGGGTTGTAAAATTGATGACTGCCTATTCCTTCAAGTATTAGGGTTGGGAGACACATAAATAGGCTACTGTTTGGTAGGGTTTTTGGTTTATTGAGGCAAGGTCTCACTATAGTTTAGGCTGACCTTACATTCACTATGTAGCCCAGGCTGGTCAACTCGAGGTGACCCTCCTGCCTAAGCCTCCCAAGTGCTGCAATTACAGGCATGTACCACCATGCCCAAATAGTCTTTTAAGTTAACTGTAGGAGGATCAGGCTGTAAAATTTGTTGTATTTAAAACTGAATGCAGGCTGGGCATGGTGGTACTCACCTGGAAGGGAGGCTGAAGCAAGAGGACTGCCAGAGTTGGAGGCCAGCCTGAACTACAAAAGCAACACCTTGCCTTAAAAAGGGGTGGGGTGCCAGGGATGTAGCTCAGTGATACTGCACATGCCTCCCAAACACAAGGTCCTGAGTTCAGTCTAGCTCTTTTAATTTTTTCATAAAGAATCTTGCTAAATTGCCTAGGCTGGGCTTGAATTTGTAAGCCTCCTGTCTCAGCCTATCAGAATACTGGGATTATAGCCACGTGCCATCATACCTGGCTTAGAATATAGGATTCCCTGCACACACACCAGGAATCCACTCAGGACCCTGGACCACTGAGCTACATCCCTGGGCCTAGAATATAGGATTTTAAGGCAATTTTTCTCTAGCTTTTTGTGGTACTCCCTAGGAAACAACTGATTCTGCTTGAAGTAACTACTGAAGTGAGACAAAGGGTGTCCAGGAGAATTTTAGACAGAGGGCCCAGACTCAGAAGAAAAGATTAAAGGGTTTTGTGTTTATTCATGTCTTGACCCACCCAACCCCACCAATAAACCATCTTTCAGAGCTGGTTATTAGAGTTGGTTACATTCAAAGACTGACCTCACTTTTTCTCTTAAGAGAAGAAGCCCACCTCTAAAGAGGGGAGGCAGGCAAGGCAGCTGGCAAGTGCTGAAGTCTCAGACCCTACAGTTTGGAGTAATCACTCCCCATTTAGCACAAGGCACTAAAGGCCAGGTGTAGGCACAGTAAAGTGGTGACCCAGGCACCTGTGCCCCACAGACCAGTTAGTGGACATCATTAAGCTGCCGTGCGACATCTAGGATGTTTTTGGCTCCTTTGCTTAGCAACAAATTGGCCAGGCTGATGCCCAAGTTCTCGGCAGCCAGTTGGGCTCCACGTGGAATGTTCCGGGCAGTGATGCCGACCAGCTGGGGATCATCCTCTGGGCCATCTTCATGCTGGATGAGGGTAGGAGGTGGAATTAGCACGGAAGGCAAGACTACACGCATTCTTTTCACTCTCCCCTCACCCCACCCCCCGCACCTTCCATCCTTGGTACCTGGACAGGGACATGGATGGTAGCCTGCATAGTCTCCTGCATGCTATCTGAGCCATCTAGACTCCAGACTCCTCCAGTCAAGTACAGCTGAAAAAGAAAGTGGTGGCCTCAGCATATTCTGAGGGGGGACTGCTTAGAAACCTGGGATGCACAGGGAGAAATGCCACAGTTCTTCTCTGTCCTCCCACCCATTTTTCCCTGCTTACTTGCCCATCCTTCATCACGGTGTGCACTGCCACTGGCACACTGCAGCCTCCTTCCTGCAATGAGAAGTTCTACACTGATCACAGCTCACAGGACATAACTGTTGGGCCCAGACCTAGGTCCTCTTCATACCCAGTGTTCAACAATGAGTTGTCACTACATGCCAGGTACTCATTTTGAGGAATCTTCCCATTGCCCTTCCTAGCTGCCCAAGCCCCCATGCCTCCACTGGGGAAGTGCAGGCCCTACCAAATGCCTCAGGAAGGCCCTTTCAGCGATGCAACGAAGCAGAGTATCAGGATCATGCAACACATCCACTAGATTCAAGATGTCCTGGTCCTTGGCTCGGACTTCCACGCCCAGGGCCCCCTGACAGAAAAACATCAGGCTTGATTTTTCCCCAGCCAATGGTGCTAAGGGTGGGAACCGCCTCTTCTCCACTTGCTCCCCAGAGCCTTTTGGCCCAGTAACATCCCAAGGAAGCAGATGCCTACTGCTGAGATCAGCTCCTTAGTTAAGAGAGAAGGGGCATGCCAACAAGTACCTTCCCAGTTAAGCTCACCTGGCCCACAGCATACATACACTCCTCAGGGTACAGGATCTGAGGAACCAGAACAGGCAGTTAGAAAGGTGGGGATGGGCTGTCCGAAAGCACCCAGCAGTGAGATGAGACATGCTTATCATCTAGAAAGCCAGGGATCAGCACAAACAGGAGTCTGGCCTCTGATTCCTAGCCTGGGACTTGTTTTTATCTTGTAGTGTTAAAGGGAGGTGTTCAAGAAGACAGTACAGGCAGAAGGGAGACACATTAAGAAGAGGGGTGGCCCCACCTGCCCCACTCTGTTCTGCCAGCCCAGACGCTGCAGACCAGCAACAGCCAGGATGATGGCACTGAACTCCTGCTGTTCGTCCAACTTCCGCAGTCGGGTGTTGAGGTTCCCCCGCTGTGGAGAGATGCTAAGGACCATCGCAGCCATAAGCAGTTTGCTCTGCCTAAGTCCTTCCCTTTCTAGCTGGCTCACTTATCTTCTAGTTCTCAGCTTTGTGACCCACAGCTACCACACACTAACTGCTGTTCTAAAGAGCCTCCCTTATGGCAGGCAACTCATTTTCTTTTCACAATAGCTGCCCGAGGTAGGCATTATCATGGCCCCACTTTACTGATGAGGACAAATAACTGCCCCAAATTATGACTCCTGGGAAGTCTTCCCTAATGAGCAAGTCTGTTTTTGAAGCAGGGGCCAGAACCACTGAGCTAAATCCTTGGCCTAGCAAGTCTGTTTTTCAACGTTCCAACTATACTTCAAAAGAATTCCCTTTTTCTCCTGTTGTTGCACTGAGCACATACTATTTTCAAAATTAATTTTATGAAGCCGGGCATGGTGGCACATGCCTGTAATCCCAGTTGAAGCACGAGGTTGGCTGTGAGTTTAAAGCCAGCTGGGTTACATAGCGAATTCAAGGCCAGCCTGACCTCAGCAAGACCTTGTCTAAACAAATAATAATTTTATGAAACACACTACATAGACACTGTAAAAATCAAAACAATATAGTAGCATCTAAAGTAAAAATGGACGCATCCTCTACTTCCCCAGAAGTAATCACTTCAGTATTACTCTGTATTGTCACTGCCTATCTCTGTCTACCTAAAATATAAACTCTATAGAAAGAGTGACAATGTTTATCTTAGTATTATTCCCAGTGCCAGGCACCTGCCTGGGGCTAAAATATTAAAGGACTGCGGATGGATGAGTGGGTGGATGGAAACACAGCTCACTGTCCTCATGGGCCACTTGTTCTGGAAGCCCATTACACTCTAGACTTTGTCTTCTTCCTTGGCTGATGCCCACTTCCTCTTCTAAAAGGATACAATGTTCTTGAACTCCAGATGAGGGAACTTTCTTTGTAGCTGGGCTGCTCTCCGCAGGGAGCTGGTCCCCACCACGCTGCCCAGAAGACAGGGTTCAAAATGAGATATAACACAGGACAGCTCTGTTCTTTTGGTCTTCCTCCCATCCCCCATCTTCTGTGCACATCCCACCCAGGTGCCCATCCAGATCGCATTCACCTCTTCTCTGGCAAGGTTTGTAGAGTCTTCCCCACAAATTTTGGGTGAAAGACAACAGCATCATAGGGGCTTTCTCGCCTGGGGAAGGAGGGAAGTTCATGGAGTGAGTGAAAAGTTAATTCAGGTCACATCCATTGTCTCTCAATAGCCAACTGTCATTTTCTGAGTTTTCTGCCATGCTGGAGGACAGACATGCTTCAAAGGAGAAGGTCAAGTCCCAGAAGGAAAAGCAAAGGATCCCCTGAGGTCCACCCCTGTCCAGGCCCTCTTGCTTGCACAACTCTTACTTGCAGATGGCTCCAATGGTGAAGCCAGGAGGTAGCACAGTAGGCAGGTCCTTCAGGGAGTGAACAACCAGGTCTACTCTACAAGATGGGAGAGTGGGACAAGGAGGAAAGATTTGAGCAGCCAGCCACAACTTTTCCTCACCGAAAACTGCTCTACTTCAGCAGTGAAGCCAAGGGCAGATCAGGAGGCAGGCCATCCCAAGGCCTCGGGGCCCCAAGACCTGCTCTCCTGCCTGCCCTGTATCCCATTCCACTTGCCAATTTTGCATGGCAGACAGCCAGAGACTCTGAAACAACAAACTCTCCTGTCCAAAAGCCTGAACTCCACTATGCGCCCCCCAGGCTCTCTAATGGTCTAAGCCAGCATGGCCTTGTTAACATCTGGATCCCAGCAAGAGACTGAGGGGTTCCACACTCATCTTCACTTACTCATTCCTCTCTAGGGCATATTCCAGCTCCTTGGTAAATAGGCTCTTCTCTCCAATCTGTTAGGTAAGAGCGAGCCTCAGAATGACACTCTTAGGGGAAGAAAAAACAAGGGGCGGCCCGCAGGGACTGGCAGGGGGAGATGTTACCTTGGAGAGGGCAGTGTCAAGAATCTTGTCCCCTGTGGTGGACATAGCAACTGAGGAGAGAGTCAGTCAGGCACTCATTAATCAGTATTTATTGGGCCCTTGCTGTGTCTACCTCTATGCTAAAATTCATGGTGGGGACAGAGAACATATAAGCACCTCCCTCTGGGAATAAAAGAGGACAGCAAGGGGAGCAGACACACTCACAAAAAGACACAAGGAGGACAGTATTAATTCCAGGCCAACCCAGGTAGTCAAAACTACAGGTGTTGAGGGAGGAGAGCCCTCTAACTGGCAGTAGCCAAGAGCAATTCTCGGCAGCAGGGCCCTAGGCCATGGACATAGGCAAAGACAGTAACACTGTGCTCCCCTCGCCCAACCCGGGGTGTACTGGCTTCCCATTAACTTTCATTCATCTCCAGAAAATTTACCAATTTCAAACTGCAGGCCAGGGTATAAGGTTTTCAGCATTGCCACGACAGTGTCCGTCTGTATGCGAGCCAGCTAGGGATAGAGATTCAGATTAGTCCTTCTCTTCCCTGGCCATCCCTAGCTCAGATCCTCATAGTGTCAGTGAGATCCTGAAGGGACTGGAATGCTGACCTGGGAATGAGAGGGGGCTAGCCTGGGAGTCCATTACACACCAACTTCCAGAGCCCAGCGCTCTCTCTCCACATGAACCAACCTGCCATTCCTCACTAGATTTAGACCCCAGCCACTCCACTTCCTTTATGCTGGGAGCTAACCCTCTGGGCCCCCTCAACTTGCGATGCTGTGAGCACTAGGACTCTTCTAATAAACCTCCTCCACCCTGTGTCTGCACTCACCTGGCTTTTACGGGTACCCACTCGAACCACTCTCATCTTTGAGCCGTCTTCTTCCTGCAGAAAAAGTCCCCAGATTATATATAGTCCCCTCTGTTCCTGTGTTTCTCAAGGCCTTGTTCAAGAACCAGAATCACAGGCCAGGGATTTAGCTCAGTGGTTTTGCCACCTGCCTCACAAGCAAAAGGTTCCGAGTTCAATCCCTTGTACCAAAAAAAAAAAAAAAAATCTTGAGGAAAATAAAAAAGGAACCAGAATCACTGATTTAGAAGAAAGAAACTTCAACTTCTGGCCTATGTGTGGACCAGTGAGTCTTGGAGTAGGCAAATTCTCCAAGATTAATCCTTCCACCTTCCTCAGTACCTTCTGCTCTCCTCAGAGATCCAGAGAAGCAAAGACCAGAGGGAAATAACACTAAGATCTGCTGTGGCAGTGGCAGTAACCAGAACACTGAGCCCCAAGGCCCACGATGGCCAACACAGGTCTCAGTGGGAGTGCTGCACCCAGCCGGGTGGATGAAGAGATAAGGCCCATCAGGCTGGCTACAGGAAGGGTGGGGCCTGCAGCTGGCTGGGGCAGGATAGTGAATACAGGTTCACTATCCACTAGAGAGCTGATGTTCAAGAAAGTGTCAGTGCCACATCAGGTACCAAGAGCTACCACACTAAGAGTCAGTCCTTTGATTTGAATGGAAGGCATGCTGGTGTCAACCAATCTGATATTCAGTCTTGCTCAGCCTCTTGGCTGGGTGTCCTTGGGCACATCATTCTATCAGGGCCTGTTGGTTCATCTATGGAATAAAGTTTCTTCTGTCTTAGAAATCCTATGAGACTGTGAGGCTGAATTGCCCAACATTCATTCACTCATCTGCAGTACTGCTTCTAGTTTCACCAACAAGTAAATGGGGTATCAGAGCCCAAGCCAAGAATTCAAAGGGACACACCTCTTCCTCTTGCCAGGGCACCTTTCATAAAGGCTCTTTAGTCTGACACACAGTTCCTACATCAGACAGTTGCCACTATAGAAAAAGACAACTTTACCTGCTCAGCGATCTTCATCTCACAGAGTTCTTTCCCAGCCAGACAGCTGGGGCCTCTGATGCTGGAGAAAATAAGAACTGGCTTCCCTTGGATTCTAGTCTACCCTGTGATCACTCCAATAAACTCTCAGCGGCCCTTTGCACATTTGGCTAGGCTTGAAATGCTAAATGTGGCCACTAGAATTCAAGACCATAGAGTGCCCACAGAAAGAAATCTGAGGATCCAGAACTGGTAGATTCAAACAATTCTTCAAATTTACTGAATCTGATCAGCACATTCAAGTCAAATTGTTCCATTAAAAAATAAGTATGGGGGGTGGTTAGCACAGTGGTTCTGCCGCCTGCCTTGCAAGCACAAGGTCCCAAGTTTGGTTCCAGTAACAAAAAAAAAAAAAGTATTTGGGGCCAGGGATTTAGCTCAGTGGTGCTGTTGCCTGCCTGGAAAGCACAAGGTCTTGAACTCCATCCCTGGTACAAAAAGAAAAAAAAAAAAGTATTTGTCAGGCACACTGGAACTCCCCTGTATTACCAGCACTTGGGTAGGTAAGGTAGGAAGATGACTTGAGCCCAGGAATTTGAGACCAGCCCAAGCAATATAGCAAGACTCTCTGTAAACACACACACACACACACACACACACACACACACACACACACAAGCGTGATCTCAGCCAGCCATGGTGTCACACACCTGTAATCCCAGCACTCAGGAGGCTGAGGAAGGAGAATTGCTGAGAGTGTGAGGCCAGCCTGTGTTACATGGTGAGTTCAAGGTCACAATGAACTACAGAGTGAGAACTTGTCTCAAAAAATAAATAATAAAAAATAAAATAAAATATCGACCACTTATATACCCACTTATATACTAAAGCATTTGCTTTTGCTTTTTATCTTCATGTCAATCTTATTCCACTTCTCCCAGGATGTTACAGAAGCAAAGGCTGGTGCTGAGAGGTGAAACAATTTGCTGGGATAATACAGCTAATAATGGACAGAGAGCGGACCCTGAAATCCAGGGTCTTCCTTGTCCTAGCCCAGGGGTCTGGAAAGTCGGCTCTAGCAAAGAACCATCCTGCCACTCACAACCCGCTGGGCAGGGGACGATAAGTAGCTGCCCCATCAGTCTTATCTAAGCCCCACAGTGGCCTGCGGTGTGCTCAAGCACTGAATTCAGCAAGCAGGCTCCGTTCTCATGGGAGGGCCCAGAGGTGGGCCCCTCCCACGATAGTAATGCAGTGTTGTCTCATTTGGGGACTTTGAGGGAATGTACTCTCCTCTAGATCAGAGGTGGAACATCTTCCAACGTGGCCGCATCGGCGCCAGATATAGTGTGAAAGCACCTTGTCCGTGTAGACAACTAGACAAACTATAGCAAAGAATCCCAGGCCTGAACCAGAAGCCCGCAGGAATGGGGATTCTACAACAGTCTACTCTTCCACCTTTTCTTTGTGTGTGGTGGGGGCGGGGGAGGGATCGGAGATAGAACTCAGGGCCTTATGCCTTACACTTGCGAGGCAGGCGCGGTGCCACTGAGTTAAATCCCGGCCCTATTCTTCCACTCAACTCAGCAGCCAGTAAGCCTTGATAGCCCCTACTGGCCCTTTAAAAACAATATGGAGGGACTGACGGATAGCCCTTCTGACCAATAGGCGACGGAGAATGGGCAACCCGGGGCCAATCGTGACGCGGCTCTGCCGGAAGCTCCAAGCGTGCAGGTGACCCGCTCAGGACTCACCACCTTTGCAGCCGCGACGCCATTACCAGGCATGACTTCGCTCAGGAAGTATGCCTGCTGGAACTGCTAAGGTCTCCTGAGTTCCGTGGAACCGGGGACTCGGACTGGCGGGAATCGGGAGCACATATAGGCCGAGCCTGTCCTTCGCCCTGACTGCGGGACCGGCAGAGGGCTTTGCGTCACGTCCGGCGCCCACCCTCGGAGGGGAGGGACCTCCCTCGGGGCGGGAATTAGAACTCTGGCGGTCGAGCAGACCACACCCCGAACTCCACTTGGTTCACCTGGAACGTGGGTTCCTGTTATCCCAGAGATGTCCTTTCTCGTGTCTTCTTTTTGTCCGTACTGCAGATTCAAGGCGGGGATCTCTGAACTACATCCCTGGCCCTTTTAAATTTGTTTTTTCACATTTTGAAACAAGGTCACACTCCCGCTGGTCCCAAACTTGGAGTCCTCCCGAGGAGCTGGGATTACAGGCCGGCACCACAACGTCCGGCTGTCACCTTTCTTGCGTCAGGAAAATGTGTGGTCAGAGGGCAGGTACGCTGCCCATTTTATCGTATGAATTATCTGCGGTCGCCCCTTGCGGCCACTCTGACACCTGTCAGTTAACCATAAATTAGTCATGCCCTAGAGGACAAAGAGGCTGTCAACTAAAATGCAGGGTTCGAGGTACAAAGTTACGGTACCGCGTCATGTCCTGCGCCCTCCCTCAGAGGGGAGGGAACCTGCTCTGGGCGGGAACTAGAACCCTTGCATCAGAGCGAACCTCACCCCCGGTTCCGCCACAGGGCAGCATTCGTCACTGACAAATAGAAGGGCTGTCCCAGAAGGCTCCACATGCTTAATTCTAGTTTCATCTCCCATGTGGCACAAGTAATTAATGCAACTTGTGTGGTACTCTGTTCCTATCAAATTTAGCTTTGTTACAACTCTGAAATAGGCAGCATTTGTTTTTTGTTTCCTTATTTTGGTACCGGACATTGAACTGGGGACCTTGATCTTGCAAAGCAGACGACAGAACCACTGAGCAAAATCCCCGGTACTTTGTTTTTCTAAATTTTTATGTATTATGAGATGTGGGGTCTCATCACAGTTCAGACTGGCCTCAAACAATAACCCTCAGCCTCAGCCTCCTAAGTTTGGGGTTACAGGTGTGTGCCACCAACCCAGCTTAGCATTTTTTTAAAAATGAGTAAACTGGTTCAGACCTATTAGATTATTCCTAAAGACATAATGGAAGTGAGAGGCAAATACCAATTATCGTGTGTGCTGGGGATAGACTTAGGGAGTTCACACTGAGCTGCTGAGACTTTTTGGTTCTTTCGACCCTTTTTATATTTTAATTTGAGACAGGGTCTTACTAAATCACCTTACCTTAGTCTTCCAGAGTGCTGGAATTAGTGTGCCACTATACCTGGCAGTGCTGCACTTGTGAAGGCTACCTAAATTAGTGTCCATGTTACTTCCTTTAGTTAAAGTTTTTTTTTCATTTGGTTTTTTGAGACAGAGTCTATGTAGTTGGGACTGACCTGAAACTCACTAGGTAGTCCAGGCTGGTTTCAAACTCACAGAGATTGTCCTGCCTCACCCTCCTGAGTGCTGGGATTACAGGCACACACCACCATACCCAGCAGTTAAACAATTCTGTTGGGGCAGTTTTCTTTCTTTTTTTGGTACTGGGGATCAAACTCAGGACCTTGCACTTGTCAAGCATGGTGTGTGCCCATTTCACTAAATCCCCAGTCTTGGAGCATTTTTCGACAGAAATTATAACCCAGATTACACATGGACACACAGTAACATAAAGCTAGCTAACAACCTCAAAGAGGGAAAAGTGTTTCAATAAAAGATATTTAATGGGGCAAAGGCTCAACAATGGAGCTTGCCTAGCAAGAGCAATGCCCTAGGTTCCCTCCACAGTACCATTTTTTAAAAAAAGCCCATAAGATTTTTTGTTCTATCACTTGGTACTGAGTACAGCAAGACATCATCCTATCCATTACCAAGGCAGGTGGGGCCCAAGGTTCCCAGCCAGAATCGGCCCCCTGCTTGAATATTTCCGAACACAAGCCATGGAGACCAGTAAGACAGAAGACCAAGAGGCTCTTATTTAGGCTGCTCTTGGAGCTCAGCTGAACCTTTTTACCTACTTGGGGTATATGTGTGTGTGCTGGGAATCAAATACAGAATCTGCACTGAGCAATATCCCAGCCCTTTTTATTTTTTGAGACAAGGATCTCACAAGATTGCCTAGGCTGGCCTCAGTTGCAGTCCTCCTGACTGTACCTTGTGAGTAGCTGAGATAATTGGCTTGTACCACTGTCTGGCTCATCAGACCTTCTATTCAGTAAACAACTATTCTAGATGCCACAAACCCCATCCACTACAAGGAAGTTTGTAGAAAGGGAATTAGGGCTCTGGAACAGAGGGAAAGTACATTAAGCCCTATTAAGAATCACCAAAAAAAAAATGTTTCAGAGGTCAGGTGTAGCACACTTTGATAATCCCAGCACTAGGAGGCTGAGGCAGGAGAATCTTGAGTTTGAGGCCAGCCTAGATTACACGGCAAGTTCAATGCCAGCCTGAACTACATATTGAGATCCTGTCTTAAAAAACTAAACAAAAATAAAAATCTTTCAGCCTTCGTATCATATTCTTTTATTTATAAACTCTGAGCAAGGACCCAAGCACAGCCTGGTGCTCCTGAATTAAGTAGCTATTGTCCACATACTGTGCTTGCTGAGGTGCCCTCCCCGACTAGTCTGGAATATTCTATGCTAGTAGTAAATGAGAAGGACAGCAGGCTGGGAAAAGGCAGCGGCAGGAAAATAAAGTTCCCTTCAGTCCGGAGGGCAGTGGCACATCAAATTGGAGCCATGTGCATATCTGCCTGCCTTCTCTGCAGCCACAGCCTACCTCAGTCCCACATCCATCTAACTGTGCCTGAGATCACATGCTTTCTGGTGAGCTGCTTAAGTGCCCCTTCTGGAGTGCATAAGCAGGTCCCGCTGCAACCCAGCCTCCAGGCTGGGCGTCAGTCTGGCTGTGGGAGGGTCGGTCAGTAGGGTCAACTTGTTGAAAACACCTCGGCCAAAGTAGTCAGCAATCACAGAGAAACTGTCATTGGAGCACTTGAGCTGCAAGGAAAGAGGAAGGAGGAAGAAAGAAAACTAAAATGCTGTATCCTGAGGAGAAAAGTAAACAAGCCCTACAGTGCTCTGAGTGCTCTGATGCTGCTGGCAGCCCCCTTTTCCCGTCCAGGTTACTCATGCCCACCTGGTGCTGGAACTGATCATGGAGATCTCGCTTCTGTTCCTGGGCCCGGATCATATCCATGACCTTCCGGTTTTCAGGGAGGCAGGTGGGGCAGTCGGCATCACTTTCTGAGTAACTCTCAAAGCAGTGTTGGTGGAATGAGTGGCCACACAGGAAGTGGACCGAGGGCAACTCCAAGGCACTATTACAGATGCTACACTTGGTCTTCTGGAAAATCTTCGGACTACAGTCAAGGGACACGAGAAATGAGTGGCAAAGAGTGAGGGCAGGGCCAAGAGCCCAGGAGAGAAAGAAGGCAGCTGGTGTGGAGGAAGAAAGGTCCCTGTGAAGGGACCCAGGCCCTACCTGCTCTTAACACCTAAAGGGAGTTAAATAAGGACAAGGACCCCAGACCTCAAGTGAGTTCAGTAAGTACAAGTATCTCAGGGGACCGGGTGTGGTAACGCACACCTCTAATCCCAGCACTCAGGAGGCTGAGGCAGGAGGATCACTGAAAGTTCGAGACCAGCCTGGGCTACATAGTGAGTTCCAGGTCAGTCTCAACTACATAGTGAGACCCTGTCTCAAAAATACCAAAAAAAAAAAAAAAAAAGTAACTCAGGGGGCTAGGTTCCCTCTTGCAAGCATCACAATTGCCACTAAATTCCCTTTGAAGTATATACCTTCAGTGAGGTCTTTTCTGCCTTCTTTATCCAAAACTGGCAGTCATTCACATAAAAAAAGGAGGGGGAGGAAGAGTGCTTGTTGAGCGTATGCAAGGCCTTCAATTCAAGCCACACCACCACACACACAAATATATACACTCACACATATACACAAACTAGCTGTGACTCCCTGCCTATTGTCCTTTCTCAGTTAATTTTCTCAGAACTTACCACTAACACACTGTAATGGTTTGCTTGATTAAGGTGTTTACTGTTTATACTGCCCTCAGTAATGTGAGTGCCAAAAAGTAGGACATTTTTGTGTGTGGTGCTGGGGATAGACCCTAGGGGCTAGTGCTAGCTAGGCAAATGTTCTACCACTGAGCTATGCCCCAGTCCAAAGCAGGGCTTCTCTATACTGTTCATAATAGTGTTTACAACCTAATTAGAGGTTCAGTAAATACTTACGGAATGAAGAAACTGTTCTTGTCTAATAAATACTTTACAGTGTTATGGGCAGGTAAGGCTTGAGACTTACCGTAAGTAATTACCATAAGGCTTGAGACTGACATAAGTAATTCTAAATTATCTGCTTTCTGTGTTTTTTAAAGCTAAATTTTTATTTCAGAATGGCTTCCAGTCACACTCAGATATGTGTTTAGAAAAGCTAAAATAGCCAGCCATGGTGGTGCATGACTGTAATCACAGCACTTTGGAGGCTGAGGCAGCAAGATCGGCATGAGTTTGAGGCCAACCTGGACTACACAGTGAGTTCAGGGCCAGCCTGGACTACATAGCAAGACCCTGTCTTAAGAAAAGAAAAAAGGAAAAGGTAAAATACAGGGCTGGGGACATAGCTTAGAGGTACAGCATGTGCTTTGCCTGCATGAGGCCCTTGGTTTAATCCCTAGCACTAAAAAAATAAAAATAAAAACAGTCAAACATACTCCATACAATCATATCTAGGAATAAGTTCACGCCTGCAGCCCCCGCAAAAATATTCAAATGCTAGTACCTCGCCTTGAGCTCTTGGATCTCCTGGCGGATTCGGGTGGTCTCCTCTCGGTACCGTCGCACCCGAAGCTCATCCTGTGCAATCTGTTGGCTCTGTTTCTGCAGTTTTTGCACCAGGTAGTCTCTGATGACAGACAAGGTGGCTGTAGAGTTGTGGGCCAGGGACTGCACCACTGAGAATTGAGTCACAAAGGAAATAAGACAGTGAACCAAGCAGCACCCTGAGAAGGGCACCTTGCCACATAGCCCATCAGCAGCCTGTTGCCTAGCCATTCCACCCCACTTACCTAGAAGGGGTGGCATGAGGTTCTTGTTCTCAATATGTTTGAGCACAGCAGCCACATACTCCTTGCAGTCCTCTTCCTTGCGGGCGAAGTAGCTGAGGGCCTGTTCCCACAGGGAGGGGTCCTGTTCTCCATGTCGCTCGCAAACAGCGATCACCTGCCGGTACTGCTCATGTTGCATGTGGTAGTGCATGATTTGCTGGAACCTGGGCCAGGGGAAGGGCACACCTCAGTGGCTGCCCCTGGAAAATAACCTGGATTGTCCCCTTCCTCTGGACATCTCCAAACTTACAGCTTCCCCTGCTCATAGAGGTAAAGGACTCCATCCTGGAAGTCATGCATCTGACATAAGACTAGTGCCTTGTCAAAGACATCGCAAAAGCGGCCACTCTTCAGCAAGGAGATGGTCTCTGCGTGAAGCTTCTCTTTGACCTAGAGAAGAAGGATATATGGGGAAACCAAAAGTTCTCTTAGGACAAGGCCAGTCAACCATCTCTTTCCCTCAGTCCAGTTTCCTCTTTATTGAA